ATTGGTGAGAACAGCTAAAAGCTGTAATAGAATCTGGGAAATGCAGTCTTTTTTTTTTTTTTTTTTCCTTGAGCAGTCATGCACACGATTTAAATGTATTTGTTCTGGAAGAAATGCTGGATTTTACTGGAGAAATTCTGCCATAGGTGCTGCTACTCCTGGTACCATTGTTATTACCGCAGAATTATATTATGCATCTGTTCAACTGATAACTTCAATTACATACACTAGGTTGGGTGAGGGAAGAGTGGCAAGGTAAGAATATAGGTTTCCTCCCAAACCTCCACTTCACGTGAAGTGAAATGGGAAATGTGAGTGGTCCTATGCTGAGTATGATTCCTATATTTAAAACAACAAGCAACCAGCCACTTCATCTGGTGGTCAGCTGGAGGACTTAGGTCCAACATTCAGAAAAAAATGGCTGATCTGGACTCATTGATAGTGTGCTGGTCTCTTGTGAGGCACCTTCCTAGGAGATCTGCAAAGATAATGCCTTCGGTTCCTCACTTTTGCCTTATTACCTGATAGAAGAACTTAACACATAGGCAAGATTCAACCACCATCTTAGTATTATATTGGTATATATTTGAAAAAAACTTCTATTACCTAGCTGTTTAACTCAGCGCCTTGCTTGCTTTTAATTGCGTATCAGGCGGGGAGTCTTTCAGTTAAGAAATTTATTGACATCAAACCTATAGCTAGGTTACAGAAAGTTGATGTTAGGGTTTTGAGATAGTGAACATCTCTGTTCAAAGAAAGGGAGGGAAACTGTCAGGATATCTTTTATGACTGCTTATTTTATACTTTTATAAGCTACTAAAGGAATTTTTATTTTCATCAAATAGGTCATTTTTTTAAATTTAGAAGATATTTAGTCATTTTCCCCTTTAGTAGGTGTACTTTATTTTAAGCAGTTTCAAACAGTGGAAAAAAACCATTTTCACTACAAATAAATTAGGGTAAATGCACTTAGACTGTTGTTCACAGACATAATCACAAAATGATTGCTTTTTGTAAGTTTCTTTTATGCATTACAATGATTTTATTGGCAAGATTTTTCTTGCTGTACTGTTTTCAAAGAGCACATTTTCTGTATTAAATGCGGTACCACAGTAAAATCTCTTAGAATCTTAGCTGAAACTTAGAAGTCACTGAGCCTAACCGACCTGTGTGTACAAGAGCCCTTTCCAGAACAGCCTGTGGAGTTAGCCTTTCAGTCTCTCTTGGAACATTTCTGTGAGAAGTTGTGCATGTCTTTGCTTATTTCATTTTTGGACAGGTCCGGTCACCATAATACTGTCAGGGTCAAACTTTGCATGTGTCCAGAGCAGTTTTTGCTTTTCAAAAATGAGTCTGTTCAACAGTTCGATTGTTAATTACCTGGGATTATGAAAATTTGAGTTCTGTCCTTTCATCATAAATCATGGCTTAGCAATTGAAAGGTCATTTGCTAACTAACTCCCCACCTAGGGTATGAGTCTCTTACACAGCCTGCTGATTTCATTCCAGTCCTGGGATGAACCGGGGTTCAACAGACACAGACTAGTGGATATAACTTCTGTCTAGACTGCTTCTCTTCAGAAAGGGGGTGCTTAGTGTTCGATAGATGACTTGGGATTTCAAGGCCTTAAATAGCTAAGAATTTGAGGAGCCAGGCCAAAGCCAAGTCTGAAAAGACAAAGCAGATGAGGAACATGGTTGTTCTTACCGGAGATTTAGCGAAGATTCATCGGAGTGAAAAATGAGCACTCAGGGCATGATGGAAAGACCCGTTCTCTGATCATGAGGGGATGCCTGGAGGTGGTAAATAGTGGCACATAAAAGCTCCTCAGAAATTGCCTCTATATTTCTAATTCTAGCAGAAATATTTGCCCAAGTAGGTAAAAGTCACAAGAGTGGTAGCTCTTAGTTAAGCAGAAGAAATAAAGCATTATAAAATTTTACAAGGTTAGGTTCTTATTGCTGAAAGTAGCTTCTGTATTAGAAATGGTACAGATATGAGAAATATGAGAATAGTGTCCTTTTTTTAGCTTTTAATCTGGATTATTTGAATCCTGGAGTTCTTTGTAGACATTACAACTTTATCTCTGTGTGGTGTATTTGTTATCCTGCCTTGCTGGAGCTGTAAATAATGTTGACTAGATATGTCTTGTCTGGTATTAAAAATGATTAGTGTGAGCTTGAGATCTAGGCTGCCCAAAAGGTTATATATAACTTTCAGGCACATTCTGATAGAATGCTAGATGGTAAGGGAGAAAATGTCATATGATATGCTCCTGGTAAAACAGTCTGGGATTTTTTATTTTGACATTTTCCATAATGAAAAGCAAGTGATTGTTTTGGGGATCCATAGAAAATATGTACTAGAAATTGCATGTAAAAGGTTAGAGTTGAGGTTTTAGGTTTATATGGGCTTAAGAAACTCCTTTCTGTAGTACAACACAATTGATAATCAACTCCTTTCTGCCAGTTAAGGGAAGGGTATCCTGCCTTTCAGTTCTTAGCAAGTCTGGAAAGTGTATCATATTTGTTAAGCAGAGCAGAGATTACCGTATTTTGCCCTGTATAATGTGCACTTTTTTTGGTCTAAATTTTGGAGGGAAAAATAAGGATGAGCATGATACATGGGTAGAACTAATTCCATGTCTATATAAATGTTTTAAATTCTTTTATTTATGCTAATACATTAAGAGTTAACTCTAGGAAGCAATAAGGATATCCATATGCAAAATAATACACTAGAATATGATAATCGGTTTTGTTTCTAAGTAATCGAAGTCTGTGAAAATTAAATCATTTGAAACTTAACTGTTACTGTTATATGATTTTACTGTTCCCGTGCAAGTATCATTAAAAAAACTTTCATAATTTCCTCTTAAGACAAAGATTCTGAAAAGTGACACTAACCAACTGAGGAGAAAAGGACAGCATGGGAAATAAGAGTAAGTGTCAAAAGGGCCGTCAGATTAAGAACGTTTAAGCGAGCTATTAAAAAATATTTAACATAAAGGTTGAAGAAAAATTAAAATGAAAGATTTTTATCCTGAAAGTTTGGGCCAAAAATCTGGGCGCGCATTAAACACAGGAGCACATGATACACGGCAGAATATGGTCACCTTGGTCGGTGACGTCACACCTGTCCTCATGGCCAAGACATGAAAACTGAGCAATCCATTTTGGTAGTTGATGGTCTTTCATGCTTGTAAGTCGAAAAAGAGATATTTCTTACTGCGGGTCCAAGCCTAGCAGTCTCTGCCATGATTCTCTCCATCGTGAAGTCTTCTACATCGGGAGTTATCTTCCCAGGGATTTTGGAGTAGGGGTTATAATTATTTCAGTATTTATGGACCCTTTTGAAAATCTGATTAAAAAACTATATGCGTTTTGCCTAGCAGTGTGCCATGTATAATTTCAAGAAGGCGCATGTCTATGGACCTCTTGAAGGCCGTTCTTCTAGGGCTTAATAAGTGCCAGGTTAAATGCCCAGGCACTGAAGTGACTCTCAGCCAAGGCAAAGTCACGTAGCGCGGACCCACGGGATGCCCATAGCTGCGTTGGCCCGGATGAACCCTTTGTATTCTGTGAAGTTCTTCACACTCTTGACTCGATACTTCTTTGAACATAAAACATTTCTAATTTCTTTTTCCCCTTAGCTAACATTCCTTTTAACCTTTTTACTTTTTTTTGATCCTGTTTATTCTTATGTTGTTGAGGTCCTGTTTTGCTTTTGTATTATATTCTTTAAAAATAGCTTTTTGTGTGTGAAATATATTAAACATACTGAAAAATTAATAAAACATAAGCACACACTTTAATCAATAATTCAAAGTGTAACTACCAACCAGGTCAGGAAAGGAACATTACCAGCCCACCCTCCTGCAAGCTACCTCGCTCCCAGTCACAACACCCTGTGTTTGAAGGAAGTAGCCACTAGCCTGACTTGTAAGGTAGTTATTTCCTTGATGTTTATAATTTTACTCCCCATCTAGTTACCACTAAAGTATCTTAGCTACTCTCTGTTTTAGAAACTTTTATGTATAGATACTTATTGTATGTATGTTTTTTTTGTTTGCTTTGCTTCTGTTTCTCAACATTACGCTTGTGTGTTATCCATATTGTTGCAGATACCTGAACTCCATTTTTTTAATGTTGTATCATATTCCATTGTATAACTGTACCACAGGTTATTTGCTACAAATTGATCGTTTTCATGATATTGCCAAGGAAATTTTAATTTACTTTTTATTTTATCTATTTTTAATTGGTCTTGGGCTAGTTTTCTCTCCATTGAATAGTGAGGTCAGATATTAACTAGTAAATTTATTACATGTATTGTAAATTATTTGAAAATTTAATTGGGGATTGAAATCAGTAATCAAGTTTTCTTAGTATCTGTTATTTCTCTTTCAAGAACTCCAGGCTATAATACACTTTTAAAAAAAATATTTCATACATAGTAATAATACATGCTGGCCATTAGAAAAGTTAATTCAGATATTCAGCAAATATTTGAGCATTTTCTGTGCCAGGCACTGCTGTAGGTCCCAAGGCCAGTCAAAATCATTTTTTTTATTCTTTATGTATTGTTAAAATAAACAGAAGTGTATTTGCTTTTAAAAAGATCATAATATAGAAGGTATGAAATAAAAAGTTTGACTTTCTTTACCCTTTAAAAAAAATTACACTATGCCTTTCCTATGGTATTTTTTTCTATGCCTTTTGGAATAGAAAGGCACATAATTTTCTCTGCCTTTTTCTTTTTAACATAGTATCCTCAAGATTTCAATTAAAGTTAGCATTTTTTAATTAGGAAACTGCCAGAAACTTAAGTTATTAGAATTAAAAATAGAAATAGTGCCTTCACATTCTCATTCTTCCAGATTAACTTCTTTTTCCTGATTTATTATTGAAGATTTATGGGAGACACTATGCTTTTGACTTATTTACATATGGGAAATGATAACTTTAATTTTTTATATACCTATTTTGTTTTGCTTTAGGCATTGCTGGAGACCATGTTTGGTGTAAAAGTGATTATAACAGGTGATGCATTTGTTCCTGGAGAAAGAAGTGTCATTATCATGAACCATCGGACAAGAATGGACTGGATGTTCCTGTGGAATTGTCTGATGAGATACAGCTACCTCCGACTGGAGAAAGTTTGTCTCAAAGCCAGTCTCAAAAGTGTTCCTGGATTTGGTAGGTTATTCACAAATTAAATTGTTTATTCATTTTATATGTGATGTAACAACCTAAAAAAGAATAATTTACTAAACTCCACTGAAGTGTAAAAGTCATTACCATTTTTTCTTTACTGGCCTACAAATAATCACCAATTTCACTTTTTTCTGAGTAGATCATAACAGATTACTTTATTTGAATCTCTTTTAAACATTTAACTTTGAAAGAGAGAATAAACTATTTACATTAAGTCTTTAAACCATTTTGAATTTATTCTTGCATATGGTGTAAGGAAGTGTACTAGTTTTCCTACCACCATCTATTGAAGAGCTTATCGTTACCCCTTTGAATATTTTTGCCTTTTTTTAATCCATTAATTGACAGTTTAGTTTACTCCTGGGCTCTCTATTCTGTTCCATTGACCTATGTATCTGTTTTTATGCCAGTACTATGCTGTTTTCATTACTAAAGCCTTGTAATATAGTTTGCCATCAGGTAGCATGATACCTCCAACATTGTTCTTCTTTCTCAAGGTTGCTTTGGCTATTTGGGTTCTTTTGTGGTTCCATATAATTTTTGGATTATTTGTCTGATTTGTGAAAAATGCCATTAGTATTTTTGCAGTGATTGCACTGACTCTGTAGATTGCTTTGGATAGTACATTTTAATTATGTTAATTCTTATCCATGAGCACTGTATATGCGTATGCTTCCATTTTTTTTTTTATCTTTTTCAGTTTCTTTCTTTACTGTCTTACAGTTTTCTGAGTACAGATCTTTTACCTCCTTGGTTAAATTTATTTCTAGGTATTTTATTCTTTTTGATGCAATTGTAAATGAGGTTGTTTTCTTAATTTTTCTGATATTTTATTATTGGTGTATAAAAATGCAACTGATTTCTGAATATATATTTTGTTTACTGCTACTTTACTGAGTCATTTATTCTAATAGTTTTTGGTGGAATCTTTAGGGTTCTCTCTCTATAGTATGTTACCTGCAAATAATGACAGTTCTAATTATTTCTTTCCAATTCAAAGAACTTTTAAAAAAAGTCATATGCCATGATCAGTTAGTATGTAAGGATAGTTCAAATCAATCAATGTGATACACCACATAAACAAAGTGAGAGAGAAAAATCATGTGATCATTTCAATAGATGCAGAAAAAACATTTGGCAGTATTCAACATCCATTTATTATAAAAACTTTCAATGATGTGGGTGTAGAGGGAATACCTCAGCATGATAAAAGCCAAATGACAAGCCCACAGCTAACATCATGCTCAGTGGTGAAAAGCTGAAAGCTTCTTTTGTAAGATCAGGAACAAGACAAGGATGCCCACTCTTGTCACTCTTATTCAACAAAGTATTAAAAGTCTCCACCAGAGCAGTTAGACAAGAAAACAAACAAAAGGCATCCAAAATGGAAAATAAGTAGAACTGTTCAGTAGTTACAGATCACATTATATATAGAAAATTCTATACTCCACCAAAAAACTTACAACTAATAAATGAATTCAGTGAAGCTATAAGATGCAAAATTGATATGCAAAAATATGTTGTGTGTCTATACACTAACAATGAACTTTTAGGAAGAGAAATGAAGAAAACAGTCTCATTCACAGTTTCATCAAAAAGAACAAAATACCTTAGAAATAAATTTAACCAAAGAGGTGAAAGATCTGTACACTGAAAATTATATGATATTAATAAAATAAATTGAAGAAGACACACATAAGTGGAAATATATTCTATGTTGAGGGATTGGAAGAATTAACATGGTTAAAATATTCAGACTATCAAAAGCAGTCTATAGATTGAATGAAATTTCTACCAAAATTCCAATGGCAATTTTTTTTACAGAAGTAATACAAACAATCTAAAATTTTTATAAAAACACAGAAGACCCTGACTAGCCAAAGCAATCTTGAGAAAGAAAAACAAAACTGGAGGTATAATTCTTCCTGATTTCAAACTGTATTACAAAGCTACAGTAATCAAAATAGTGTGGTATTGGCATAACTACAGACACACAGATCAATGGAACAAAATAGAGAGGCCAGAAGTAAACCTATACATAGTGTATGCTCAATTACAACAAAGGAGTTAAGAATATTTAATGGAAAAATGGAAGTCTCTTCAATAAATGATGTTGGGAAAAGTGGACAGCCACATGCAAAATAATGAAACTGGACACATTTTCTTATACCAAACACAAAAATTAACTATAAACAATAAACAACTTGAATGTAAGACCTGAAACCATAAGACTCATAGAAGAAAACAATACCTTAACATTGGTATTGGTGACCATTTTTTGGATCTGACACGATAAGCAAAAATAAGCAAGTGGAACTACATCAAACTAAGAAGTTTCTGCACAGCAAAGGAACCTATCAAGAAAATGAAAAGGCAGCCTACAGAATGAGAAAAGATATTTGCAAATCATATGTGACAAGGTGTTAATATCCAAAAAAATATAAAGAATGAAGATAACTCAATAGCAACAAACAAAATCTGATTAATAAATGGGCAGAGCATCTAAATACACATTCTTCCAAAGAAGACATACAGGTGGCCAACATGTACATGAAGAGACGCCTAACCTCACTACTTATCAGGGAAATGCAAATCAGAACCACAATGTGAAATATTACCTCTTGCCTTTCAGAAGGGCTGTTTTCAAACACTTGAGAAATAACACCGTATTTTGCCGTGTATATTGTGCTTGCCTTATACACGAGATTATTATACCTATGGTATGTATTCCTTATGCCTGTGTATAATGCACATCCTTAGTTTTCCCTAAAAAATTTGGGCAAAAAGTGCATTTTATACATGGCAAAATATGGTAAATGATGACAAGGATGTGGAGAAATGGGAATCCCTATGTACTATTGGTAGGAATATAAATTGCTCCAGCTACTGTGGAAAAAAGTATGGATGAAAACAATTTTTTTTCAAAATACTAAAAACAGAACTAGCATTTGATCCAGCAATTCCACTTCTAGGTACCACAAAAAGATTTTTACACTCCCTTATTCTTTCCAGCATTATTTACAATAGCCAAGACATGGAAACAACCTAATATTCATTGATAGATGAATCGATAGATGAAAGTGGTATATGTATCTGTACACACAATAGAGAATATTATTTAGCCATAAAAATATAGGACACCTAGCCACTTGTGACAACATGGATGGACATTGAGGGCCTTAAGTCAGACAGAGAAAAAAAAATACACACATGATCTCACTTATATATGGAATTAAAACACACAAAACCGAACTCATAGATTCAGAGAACAGGTTGATGGTTTGCCAGAAGCCGGGGGTTATGGGTTGGGCGAAATGGGTAAAAGTGGTCAAAAAACACAAACTTCTAGTCATAAAATAAATGCCATGGGAATAACGTACAGCCTGGTGACTAATACAGCATAGTTAATAATGCTGAGTATATATTTGAAAGTTACTGAGAGAGTAGGTCATAAAAATTTTCATAAAAAATTTTTGTAACTGTGGTGATAGATGTTAACTAGACATATTGTGGTGAGCATTTCACTATATATCAGTGATTTGCAATTGGTGTGCCACAGGAATTTTTAAAACATGCAATACCTGACTATTTAGTCGGGGGCACTGACCTCTTTTCTCTTGGATTGTCAAGTAAAAAAATGACAACAGCCAACACTTGTCAGGTGTGAATGAATCAAAATTATGCCTTCTTTTTTTTTTTTTTTTGTCCGATTAGCAAAAAATACTTTTCTTGTGCTGCAGAATTTTAGTAATTAGTTTATGTGTGCCGTGAGATGAAAAAGGTTGACAAGTCATTGCTATGTACACATGTGGGGTTGGCAAAAGTAATTCTACAGTTGTGAGTACGTGAAACAAAATACTGTTTTGTTTGTGATTTAAAAAGTGGCCACATCATGTATTAAACTAAAAATCTCCCTGGCAAAAATAAATTGTTGTGCTCAATTGTAAAACTGCAACACAATGTAATGGTGAAAGCTAGGAAAATCATCCATTGTGGAATATATCTAGATTGTTTGGAATGAGTTTATTCTCGTATTATTTTTCACACAAACATCTATAAACCTTCCTTTGCCCACTAGTATATGGAATCGTTTTGTTATACCTGAAATTAATAATATTCTACATCAAATTACCTCTCAATTTTTAAAAAGTAGTATTGCTTATTGGATGGTTGTGAGGATTAAAATAAATGCCAATAGGACATTATTACTTGCTGCTGCTTTTGATTTCTGTAGTTCCATTTAGAACCTCCACCTTTTGCCTTGTGGAGACCTACGTCAGACCTCAGGCTCTTCGATTGTCTCACAGGCCCATATTCTCTGTGATCACCTCACCTTTATTTCCACCCACTGCACAATATTGCCATTTTTATCATTGCAGACCTGTCCCTTCTCTCACCTTGTGTTTCTTTGTAAGTATGCCATTTTTAGCTTTTCCATTTGCCTATTTTCTTTTCTGACACGAGTTATAAAGCTCCTCAGAGTGTCTTACATATTGTAGGCTCTTAAATATTTGCAGACTTGATAGGATTTCATGAAATTACAAACCATTAATGAGAACAGATTTTGGATTGGAGGAAAAAAAAAAAAGACTTTAGTATCTCTATAGTGAATAAATGCTAAGTAAATTAAGCAAGGCAAAAAGTGTGGGCAGCAAAAAACAAACCCAAACCAGAGTTCATTTGCAAATGAGAGTGTGACAGTTGGAATTTGCAGGCGGAAATGAAAGAAAGGGAAAAGAGTGGATGCGTCCCAGCGGTCACGGCTGTGTCGGGCTTCAGATTGTGCTAGACTTAGCTTGTTGACAATTTGGCATGACTTTGGGGAGTATTTAATACTGCTGTTTATAATTATTTTTAAATAAAATTTTGCTTACCAGATATTTGGAATATAATGACTAAAGAAAAATAGTATTTTATATCTATAGTGCCAGGTTGGGGAATGGATGAGACCTGGGAATTTGAAAGTTCTTTTCTTAAAATGT